ATTTGTAAAATATATGTGACAAAAAAAAAAAAAAAGAACTTTTCATATGAGTTCTAAGTCACGTGAGTAAAGCTGAGCGCAATGTCTCGGATTCGATCCCAGATGCACTACAAGAAAAAAATCATATTTATACGAAATTAGCTATGAAAATTTTCAGAAATATATGTAGGTAATGAATTTGATACAAAATTTGTCATGAAAATATATTTAGTGGGTATAAGCAGTGTAGCTAATTTTTAACATACTATTTGCCGCAACAATAATTTTAATATATATTTTGCCACATCTAAATAATAATTATTTTACAAAAAAATTTCACACAAATTGCCACGATTTATTTTAAAAAAAATAAAAATTGTCATGAATAATTATTATTTAAAAAAATAAAATATTTAAAATTTTCATGTCCATATAAATACAAAATTTGATGTAAAATTTAATTTGTAGAATTCCATATTATAAAATATTAACAATAAAAAATATTAGTACAATATTATATTTTCTAAACACTACTATAAACCATCATCAGCTAACAAAATTAATATGTTGAAATACATATAGTAACATTGATACAATATTTAATCAAATCTATTTACATAAAAACTACTAAAAATACACATGAACTAAATCTTCCGGATTTTGGAGGCTGCTCTTGGAGTATGCTTCAATGTTTATATTCTGATGTTAAAGTATTGATATGTGTTTCGTTCAATTTCAACATTCTTTTTTTGTATCCAATAGCTCGTTCTTTTTCTTCTTGGTATCTTAATAGTTTTTCCATTTTCTTCTAAGTAAGTCCTAAAAAAATAATTAAACAATTCGAAAATAAATCTTTAGTGATATACCAAATACTAATTTAATGGCAAAAAAAATAATAATAATGTAAATAAAAAAATATTAGTAATTTGAACGCATAAACAAAATAGTAAAAGTAAATTAGCAAAAAACCGAAAAAAATAGATGAAAAAAATGACAAGCAATTTTTTTTTCTAAACGATAACAAAAAAAAAGAAAAAGAAAAAGGAAACGTAATATGAGCACTAAAAATAGCAAAAAGAGGCAAGAAAAATAAAAATGATTTGCAAAATATTTTCTAACTAATATTATAAAAAAGAACAAAAACTGCAGTGTGATGATTCCGTGAAAACTCAAATGATATATTAATACATAAAAACTAAAGTTGTTCAATTAATGAGTATTACTCCAAATAAAATAAACTAAACATTATTATATCAACAAAATAAAAATCAAATAAATATTTAATTAATTTCTAGCAACATAAACAAATACAACGAAGATAAATGAATAATAATCTATAATTTAGATTTTACCTTTAAATTCACGAACAACACGAATACTTGTTATTTTTATGTACCTTCATACCCTGCAACAACGAATATGAATGTATAATAATCTATAATTTTAAAACAACTAAAGAATAAGAGAAATAGACTTTTATTGAAAAGGAAAAATTAAAGAGCGGCAAAAATCAGAGAAGAACATAATGAAAATTGATACAAAGGAAAAACAAAAAAAAAAAAAAAAAAAAAAGAAAAAAAAAAGCAAACAATAGAGAAGAAGATATGAAGATAAATAAAAAGGAAAAAGTGAAAAAACTATATAGATCGTATTTGAAGATTCTGTGTAAACTAGGTGGGAGTTTTAACTATACATAATATTTATCTATTTTTACATGATTACATAAAATATAGATAAACTTTTACACTTCAAAAATTTATTCTTAATAATATAATTATATTATATAAATATTATAACTTAATATATTATACCTCTTTATTTTATTATATAATACATATATTAATATATAATAGTATAATAGATATAGATTGATATTTGACTATTTAAATCATATTATTTCTAGTTCTACAAATAATTTATCTATAATAATTATACTTTAATAAATTATAAAATATAAATTTATTTCAAAATAAGATATAATAATAAGTAGATAAATTCTACAAATAATTTATCCATAAGTGTACAATATTAATTTATTTTAAAATAAGATTGAAGAAGTAGAGATAAATTGTATGTATATTTATAGTAAAAATTATTATGTTTTTAATGGTTAGTTAAGATAATTTATTATACAATATTTTCCACCATATGAATTTTTTTTTTTTTTTTATTTTCTTATATATTTTTGAATAAATGTAATACAAATCTTCCATAAAAAATAACATTCAGCTAATTTGCTTCAATATTATTGATGAAAAATATTCATAACAAATTTTGCTACGAAAATAGTTATAAATAAATATATTTTTATTTTTTTAATTATATTTTTGTGGTAAATTATGTGATAGTTTTGACATGTAATTATTTAATAGCAAAATTTTGTAATTATATGAATGTTTTACTGAAGTAATAGGTGCCTGTGCTGTGTGTCTGTCTGGTAAAAAAAAATGTTACGAAAGTATAGAAGAGCTATGGTTGCGTAGTTATACAACTGTGACAATTCCCACAATTTTAACTAACTTAACATTACCTAAGTAATAAACAATGTCGATTGCCATAGCTTTATTTATTCATAACATTTCCTTATCTAATTGACCCATTAGTTAATAATTCCATCAGTTAATCATTTATCTTGACCATGTTCAAATTATAGAAATACAAATTTAAAGAACACTAATAAATGTTCCAACAGATGATGAAATTAACAAATGATTAATCAAAGTTTGTCAACTTGAACACATTACAATCTTTTACCACTATATACGAGGAACCGTTGACATGCCTTTGTAATAAGAAGTACATAAGTCTCGCCCCACTTTACTCATCCAGAGATTCTTCTGCTGGCCAGCCTGCATTTGTTTAGTTTCACTCCATCGTCACTTACTTTTCCATCTCAAATTTCTTCAGCTGCTCTAATAGTGTCATCTTTGCCGTTTTCATTAGAAGTTTGTGTAAATTCCATATTGGACAAACCTTTTGTATCAGGCTTCTTCAGTGATCTATTCTTGGTAGGCTCAGGTTGGATACCATCAACATGGCTCTTCTTCTTCCATTCCTCCATGCTATAGGCTGCATTCAGACCTGGAGGTGGTTCTGCCATTTCCCGAAAAAATATTCTGTAGTTTTCCCTTGTTTTCGATTCCACACTTTTTAAATGACTCAAGAATGTTGATAGAACCTCAGTGTTATGAGAGACGCTCCAATAGTGTGAGCTGGGAGCATTAAGATTTTGAGCAGAAATCTCCGTTGCCTGGAAAGGCGGTTTGTACATAGGACACTCCAGATTTTTATATACGTGTACATTTCGGTACTCAAAATGTGTCCTGCACCTAATGCGACATATCCAAAATGTATTCTGACTTGGTGAAGATATCTGCTACTTGCCTGATGGTTCCATAAAACGTCACTCCAATTGTTCTATCTGTTACACATTGTCGAATGCAGTGATGCTGCACGTCAATATGTTTTGTCACGTAAAATTTGTGTCGCCTTCGTCTGTTCATGATCCAAATCTGTCAGAAGTTTCGGAATCCACAAAGCTTGCTTTACTGCCAAAGTTGCTGCCGAATATTTCGCTTCACATGATGATAAAGCTACCGTGTCTTGTTTCTTAGAGCTCCATGTTATTGCCCCGGAACCTAGATTAAATACATCACCGGATACACTTTTCCGATCATTAATGCACGCACCCCAAATTACTATGGGTAAAGCCAACAAGTCTGAAATTTTTTACTTTATTGTACCAAATGCCAAAGTTCAATGTCTCAGCAATGTATCGAAGAATCCTCTTTGCAGCTCCAAAACATTGCTTCGTAGGATGGTGGATAATTTTTGACACAACACTGAGAAAGAAATATCATGTCAAGTGTGTGTTAAATAATTCAAGCCACCAAACAAACATCGAAATAATGTTGCATCATGCTATTTCACTCCCGTCTTCTTGCTGTAACTTCCCATTAATATTCATTGGTGTGGCTGCAACTTCAAACTTCACCCTATCAAATCTCTTTAGAAGATCTGCATTATTTTGATCGACAAAATTCCATCTTCACTCTGAATAATCTCGAGTTCCAAAAAATATTTTAGCAACCCAAGGTATGTCATCTCGAATTTCCTCCTCATGCTATGCTTAAAATCATCAAGTGAGGCCTTTGATATACTGTTGAGAATTAATGTGTTGAATAATTGTGAAATAAATTCTTAGATTTGAAATTTTTAATTGAAATTCTAAATTGAATTTTGAATTTGTAATTTTAAATTCAAATTAAAAATTTAATAACATGGTTACAAGGTTGGTTATGAGCTTATGTAATATATACATAGACCTCAAACCTTCATTGTAATTATCTATTTTTCTTCATAAAAAAAAAAAAAAAATATCTATCCATTTTTCTTAGCATCATCTTGTTCAATAATAAAATTCATTCCATTAAAATAAAAATGCATTTGATCATGTCCCTATTCAGAACATCTTCCATGCTTTTTATTTAGTCTAAGAAGCTATATAGGTTAAAGACAGGCATTTGTTGCCATATTTCTATTAATTTTTAGTATAGCATGCTTAATAGGAGGAAAGATGACAACCACGTAAAAAAATAATATTTATAACTCAGACATATGGCATCCATTACATATACAAAATTACAATAATAATGCTAAAGAAAAATCTTTGAATTGATGTCATCATCATCATTCCAAGTAAGATGCTTCGATATAATAAGCCTTCTATTAAATTTCAATACAAGCTACTAAACTGAACACAAATGTAATTCATCGTCTACAAGCAAAGGCTATACTGCATCGACTTATTTTCGACGGTTATGCTGCTTTGTATTAAACCATTATATACATATTTGGGGATGTATTTATCACACAACAAAGGCAAAGGCAAAGGCATGTATTGGTTACACGTGTTAAGTGTTAAACACGTAGAGAGTAGTATATCTCACCAACATCCCGTACATATATAATAAATGTTAGTGCATACTCTACGTTGACAACCATCTGGAGCATCATATTGTAGGTTGACAACACTGCTGCATCATTCACGGCATGCCGTCGAACGAAACAATGTGTCCGATCAAAAAAGGATAAAACAGGGAAACCATCTAATGCAACCAATCATTTTTAATGGAATCACATAATGAGGTTTTGAAAAAAGAATCCGTTATCCGAACTATATAAAACACCCAATTATAAAACAGCCACTCAGCATATATTAGGATATACAACATCTATCTAACAAATTCAAGAAAAGCCAAAACATTCGCTGCTGTAAAGAGATTGAGCGCGGTGGTGGCGTCCATCAGACGATGAGTCTTCATTGGCAGATTCTTCCTCTGAATCGATTCGCTGCGTTCAGCCCTTCAAGTGTTTCTTCCACTCCTCAGATTTTGGTTGTTGGCCTGGCTTTCTGTAGCTGAAGTCAATGCTCCATTGGTTGTTGCCATTTTCTTCCCTAGAGCTTCCGATTGGCAACGAAAAGTGTCGGAAATTGTAGCTTGGATCTGCCATGAAACAGATATCATTTTCATTCTCCCAAAATAGAGGACTCTATTTATCACTTAAGAAGAAACAAAAGGCTGTGTATTTCATTTACTTTATGACCTGAGTATTAAGATCTTGTACCTCTTCATTGAAAGCCAATTCCAACTTCCCGCTTCCCTTTTATGATAATTTCAGGCTCTGCTGATCTTTCAGCAGTGACCACAACACTATCTTACCCTCTTCATCGTCTTGCACCTCTTCTGATTTTTCTTTGTTTTTAAAAATTCTTTTGGTTCTCTATTTTCCTCCTTGACATCCCTATAGATATATATATTGATGGAAAACTGAGAGATAAATTGATGATTGTATATAAACTGATGTAATTCTCAAAAATAAAACTTACTCTTCTGGGATTCTATTCAGGTTCCATAAGGTTCTCTTTTGATTTAGTAGCCAAACCTCAGAAGTACGATCACACATTGAGTCTTTTTTGTATCCTTTTTGTGCCTCTCCAGCACAGTTGGCTTCCTCCTTGGCCAAGCCATTCGAATTTTTGTTTTTTCTTTTCTTCCCTCTCACTTGAGAGTACCTTTGCTTTCTTTTGTATCAGATCGACTTTATCTGATGTATTAACCCGAATTAGATAATTAAGAAAGTAGAAAGAGAGATGATTAGTCAGTCAGTCATATACATATACCTACCCAGGAAGCAACTGTTGGCAGCAGATGTAGATGACGATTCATCCCCAAAGCCTCCGCCCAGATGGATGAAGAATACTCTCGCTACCATCCATAGTTCTATTCCTAATCGAGTCTCCAACTAAATTAACTGAATCGGATCTGCTGCCTCCCTCATCTATCTCATCTCATAGTTCCAACAAAAAACTTTATAAAATTTAAAAAAAAAAAAAAACAAATAAAAATCACAGCCAAATAGGAGCCCGTATACAAGCTATGCGTAGAGAATGAAAGATTTAAACCTTAAAAGAAGTTAGAAATATTTTTTCTAATAAACGTTACCAGACACTCGGTCATGTTTGTGTGATTTTCACTTACTTAATACACCTGTTTCTATAGTAGCAGAGAGATATTTCTAGAACCAGTTTGTTCTAGATTTTTCTTTGATGGCTCTTACTATTTTTTTTTTAATTAATATCTTATAATTTACAATTTATATTGTCTACATATCTATAAATATATTCCTCTATATATGTATTTTTTGTTAAGTTTATTTTTCCATATTTTTTTTATTTAATCACCATTTTTTTTATTGTATTTATATATAATATATATAAAAAGACCGTGTTGAAATTATTAAGTGTGTCAATCCTTCTCCTACTCAACAATTTTAATTATATTATTATGTACAGAGTGATCAACTATGCACAATTACAATAGAAAATTAATTGTAGAATTTCTTTCATAAGACATGAATTCTATTATGCACAACAATACTATAGTGTTTTCAAAGTATCCATAAAAACTTTTTCAAGTCAATACAAATAGGAACAATTCAAGAAAACACTAGATCCGCAGAAATATTCATTTCCATATTTCACCCTAAGTTAACACTACAAAAAAAAAATAGTATATTTGTAAAGGGATTCCGTTCCTAAAGTTCAGGTAGCTAACGTAATTTTATCCCAAATTCCGTCACTAATAACATTAGTTACAGAAAAATTGAATTTAAGAAAGAAAAAACGTCGTTACAAAATTGATATTTTCTTATTGTGTAAAAAAATAAAATATGGGCTGAGGCACCCAAAAGAAACAACTCAATCAAATACACTGGAACCTCAACCAAACAAAACCATAAAATCACAGGTTGTTGAGTTTCTCTTGATCGAATTGGACTTCGGGTAACCTGTAAACATAAGAAAGCTCACATAGAGAAACTTTATCAACGGATAACAATATATATTAAGCAAAATCAGAAGGTTAAGAAAATAAATAAGAAAATTAGATAATCGATCGTGTAGGCTCAGATTCATAGCCACTTCCTTCACCACCCCAAGTCGTCCAATGTTGCCGACTTCACACATGATCAATTGTTGGTACGCAAAGTCGATCTTTGAGGCAGAACTGTACACAAGGACAGAACGAGAAAAGGATTGTGGCAAAACCCCACGAACAGTATCATCAAAGTACCCAATCTCAAGTTTCTCTCTATTTTTCACATCCTACAAACACACCGAGTAACCCTATATTTATTAGTGAGAGGGAATTGGATAAACTACTCCAGTCTAGGGAAGCCAAACTTACCTGATGCAAAGGCGATGGAGTAGGAACTGCCAGATTTCAAATTTGAGCTGAATAAGATGAAAAAGCTCACTATATTTATCCCGTCGGTTTTGGAACAGAATGAGAGAAAAGAGAAAGAATAGGTGCGTATGATTTCTGGGTGAGATTTGAGGATCAGATCGCACTTTATCGGGTTAGGAATCATACGGGTCAGACTCGGGTCACGGATGGGTTGGGTCGGTTACGATCTCTTTGGGTCGGAGTTAAAATAGGTAGAGAAGAAACACACCAACACAAGTATACTCACAGACACCGGTCCCTTTCCTAAACGAGATCGATGATTTAGGCATGAGAAATAGTTGAAAAGGAAACACCACCCAAATTAATCGATTACATGCACAAATGGATATACCTGTGATGGTTTTGGGCCGATGACTGTTGGAGGCCAAGCAGCACTTAACCCAACCCACCCCGAAACCCGGATCCGGGACCCGCGACCCTACCCGTCTATGCGAGGCTCAATTAGGGCCGTTGGATCGGTGGCTTGAATCTGGACCGTTGGATCTGATTACCAGTCTGATATATAAATATATTGGTTTTCCTCCTTGAACCCGGTTCACGCTCATTTCTCACTACGCTCCTTTCTGTCTCTAGAAGCCCAAACCTCCCGACGGAGGTTCCAAGTCGATCTTCCTTGCGACTTTTCCGGTGGTCTTGTTCGGCAAAGCTGAGGATTTGATGTGCTGATGATGTTCGATCTGTTCTGAGGCTGTCCATCGGTTTGCTTTCTCGATTCTAGTCCGATTTGCTGTTCGTAGTGTATATTGTTGTCCGCCATGAAATTAGGCTTAGAATGTTGAAGTTTCCTTAGATTGTGGTTTGATTCGCGTTGTTTGTGCATTTCTGTGGATGTCGCTTGGGTTTGGGTCGTGGTTGAGTGTTTGCGTTGTTTCGGTTGATATACTAACAGGAAGCCCGTGCTACGCACGGTGTCATTAACGAAAAAAAAAATTACAATTTATTATTATATATTTTGTATATTTTAATTCAAAGTATGTTTTTTAAAAAAAAATTGATGTGTCTCTCTTTTCTATTTTATAAAAAGTAATTATATATTAATATTAAAATACCTTTAATTTTTATTTAAATTACAAACTTATTATTACACATACAATTATTTTATACGTAAATTTAAAGGACAAATTGTCAAAAACTCCACTAATCAATAAAATAGTATTCCCTCCTTTCTTACTTAATTTGTTCATTCTTTCTATTTTCGTTTGTCTCAAATAATTTTTTTTAAAAAAAAAAAATTATACACTTTAAGCATGTTTTATAATTTTTTTTATTCAAATTAAACTATTTAGTCATCTTAATTTTAATATATAATTATTTTTATTAAATTATAATTATTTTCATTAATACACTTATTTATATCATAGAACTATTTTAATTTAAAATATTTTATTATTAAAATCACAGAGCCAAAATCCAGAACCCAAACAAACATACTCCTTCCGTCCCATTGGAAGAGTGGAGTTGGTTTTTTCACGTAAAATACCCCTATTAGTAGTGTAATATAAAAGCAATAACATTTGTGTAATATATTGTAAGTTGAAAAGGATATTTATTACGTTAGGTAGGTAGTACAATTATTAAATTAGAAAATAATAACCTTGTTTTGGAACAATGGTAACCTTTCAATGGGACGGAGGGAGTATAAAGTTTCGGGAGTACAGCTATCAATCTTCCATCTATTGTACTAAATACATGTAAAATTCATTTCAAAATTTACATGAAAAAAAAAATAAATAAACCACTAAAAAATAGTGATATTTATATAATAATAATAAAATCAAAATTAATTTAAAATTACATTTATATATAATAATAATTCATTGTATGCAATCTTTATATTTATATAAGTTATTATGCATTACTATATATATATTTGCATTTTGATACAAAAATTTTAACTTGATATAATTTAGATAAAATTTAATAATATTATGTTTACAATCGCAGTATTCTATTGTACATGTAAGATAGGTGGGTAGAGATAGTATTTAGTTCAATTTGGTACCCTATCTTAAAACTCTACTTTCCCGGTGGAGGGAATTTTATCATTATATACCATATAATTTTTCAGAACAAAACGAATGAAATATAGTAGAAACTTAACAAATTGACATTGAATGAAAAAATTTATTTCAAACATTCTAATAGCTAAAATATATGTAGGCAATTTTTCTTTTCCAACTCGTTCCTTTAAAATTTTGATTAAAATTATTAAACTCGAGTTTGAGTTAAATTTAAATTTAAAAAAAATTTCATTTTTTTTTTATGAGAAATCTAGAATAAGAGTGTAAATTATAGATTAGCAAAAATAATTACAATTTTCCATTAAAATTAAAAACTTTCTTATACATTAACAAAAATATTGATAATACATATTAACTACTTCACAATAATATATTAAAATACTACATATATTTTTATTATATACTACTTTTAATCTTTAAAAATATTTTCAAATTTAATATATATTAAATTTAAAAATATAAACTAATTATTCATATATATACTATGTATATCACTGCAAGAAAATATCAATTTTGTAACAAGAGTTTTTAGTCCCTGAATGTATTTTTTCTATTACTAATGATATTAGAGACAGAATTAGTAATGGAATTACGTTAGCTACGTGATCTTTAGGAACGAAATTCCATTACAAATATATTGTTTTTTTAGTGTATGTATGACATATATATACTATACGTATAAAATAGTAAAAAAAACTGCATAAATAATTGCAACAATTATGAAAATTGCAAATATTATGTATAATTGGATAATAGAAATGATTTTTTCAAAAAAAATTATAACATTAACTAAAATTTTGAATATATTATACATAAGAATAAATAGAAATAAAAAGATTACTTACTCCATAATAACAATAATAATAATAATGATGATGATGATGATAATAATAATGATAATAATAATAATAATAGATAAAAGTTAAATATTTACATTTAATATATTCAAACAAATATATATACATATTAAGAAAATATAGTGGCACATAAATATACAACCACCAATTAAAAGAACATATTCTTCAATAAACAACACATCCAAACTACACTTCAACAAATTTTAAACAAAACAAAGTAGAATTCTGAAGCATTGGTTAGAAGCTGAAACATATCAACTTGTCCCAATTTTAACTAATATTAAAAAACCACACCAAAACAAAAGCTTCAACCATTAACTCTAGCGTTATCACATAGACGTCACTATCATCTTCAACGGCAGACATCTTCAGCTTCGAACGCAGCAAAGAGAAAAAAATGTTTAAGCCAGTTAGGAGAACCATGGACTCCTTTGACCACTGCCATTGTTTGCATTTGCCAGAGGAGGATCCAACTCGATTCTAATGGACGCTAGATTGGCTGCTACCTGAGGAAGCTACCGCCGCTAGTCACTGCGAAGCTGGACATCGGAATTGCGGACGCCACTGCAAGTTTCTTTGAGGAAAGGTGAGGCAGAGGACGCATATAGTTATTGTTAAAAAGAATAGAATTGAATTGAGGATAAGAAAAAAAAAAAATCAAATGAAAAATTTCCATTATGTATGAAATTTATAGGAGTTGAAAATTTTAAATATATTATATTTTCATATTTATTCTGCATAAACGTTTAAATTATCAAGACAATTGTAATAATTAAAATGATAGTGCAAACCTTTAATATACCAAGATAATTTCTTTTTTCATTTCCAAAAAGATCATTAAAAACCCCAATATAGCAGCAATTTAATTTATTAATATTAAAATATTATTTAAAGATAATATATAGAAGATTATTAAAATGAAACAAAATGATGTATCAATTTTTTTTTAAAATAATATATAGAATACAAAAAATAATTTAAAAATAAAAAAAAATTATATAACCATTAATAAAATTATTTTAATTATATTTTTATAAATATAAATATAAATCACAAATGATAAAATCATATAAATACTATTGTTAGCACCTTGTACAAATATATAAAGATATTGATAAAATTGTTTCATAAAATAATTAAAAATTATATAATTATTAAAATGAAAAAAAAAATTGTGTATATAGCCATTAATTAAAAGAATATTTTAGTTATATATAAATTCTAATTTATAAATATAAATTAAAATTAATTATTTTATTATGTAATAAAATTAAATAAGCAAATTAAAAATTAAAATTGTATGTATAATCCAATAAAATAAGAAAAAACACACAAAATCACATATATATTTAAAATATTGTTACATTAGTGAACACATACCCTTTCAATTAAAGTATAATAATTAAAAATATACTAATAATTAATTAATTGTTTGTTTTTATTTAAATTACATAATATTATATAGAGAGACATACAAAAGATTATTACAATAAAATTAATAAAAAATTAATTAAATAAGCTAAAAGAATAAAGATGTGGGTCTATACTTTTTTAATAGCCAATCAAATTCAACAACCAATGAAAATAAAAAAATAAATAAATTGAAAATAGTTAGAAATTTTTGCTTTTACATCTGGTGGCCTCCACAGTCAGCTCAAATATAGATATATATATATATATATGATGGGTAAACTGAGTCCGAGTTCTATTGATTTCAAAATATATAAAAGATTCTTTAAATTTCTTTTTTATTCCATTCGATTATATGAGAATATTGTGTTATTGATCTTGCTTAGTAATAACAATACCAAATGCATAAGAGCTCAAAAAATAGCAACACAGTGCCGACATGAAGCTAATCGAAGGCTCCTCTGTGAAGAACAGGAGTCGCTCGCGTCAATCGGGTCAAGAGGTAGAGCCAAAAAGCGAGAATATGAAGATTACGGTTGGTTGTTAGAGTGAGAACGGGAAAATTATATTGAATCACTATGCAGAAGGTCACTACAAAAAGTCAAAATTTAGGTAATGAATTCGTGCCATAAAGGTTTTTGCGATAAATGAGTTTCGTTGCCGATTCCGCATTGGTATGACCTTTGGTGATAAATTTGACTTTTGTAATGAAAGATAAATTTTCCGCAATGGAAGTTAATAAAATAGATATGGCTAAAAAATAAGATTTCATAGA